GATCGAACTCAGGTCCTTGCGCTTGCACAGCAAGCAGCGAAAAAAATCATATATTATAAATAAAATATCCATATCCTGAAAAATTGTATGTTATCAAGTTGGAAGCAAACAATAACATTTTAATCTTTTTAGTGGAAAAATGAGCCATTTCCTTATATTTAGGATTGCCTACATTCAAGCATATGCACAATGTTTCACTGGATACCAGGTACTTACATGCTAAAAACAGTAATGATGGAAACCCAGAAATACTATAATTACATTATTCTCAAAATTAACACACTGTTTGAAAAAGAAAAACTCTGATACAAAATGAAATCTTTTTTTTTTTTAAACCAAGATGTCACTCAGGACCGAGATGTAACATAGAAATAGAACCCAGCAGAGTTTTTCGTCATAAGAACTGGTAACATAAAAGTCTTGAATCCATCAGGACAAGTTCAGAAGTACACAAACGTGTTTCTAAAAATAGTAGGTAAATGGTCCTGAATAAACCCACCTAAATTCTGAACCCAAATTTCACTTTGAGATAATCAAGGGATTAAAGAAAACTTTGCCTAATCCTGGCAGTGTTCAGAAGAACCTGAAGCCAAAAGACAGTAATGATGTGGCATCATAACAAACTCAGACCTTATTCAATATAAGCAGGACTTCACTTTTGTTTATATTCATATGAACTTAATGCACATAGCTCATGGCAATAATCCTGATAGCTTTAATACACCATGGATTCAGAATAACTGCATGAAATAAATGGGGACATTTAATTTGAACAATACTCACAGTAAAATTGATGAGATCATAGTACAGGTGAAGATACTTTTGCTTAGTAACATGTATTGCCCCAGATTCATCTCTCTTGACCTGATGATGAAATGAAAAAAACCAAAGCATCAGTTATTGCTTGAAGGACTTTTAAAAATATTTTATAGCCTGGAATTTAGCTCAGTGGTTCCGCTGCCTGACTCACAAGTGCAAGGATCTGAGTTCGATCCCCAGTACCAAAAAAATAATTAAAGTAT